AACTTTATAGACCTGTCTTACAATAAATGTTTAAAGTTCTTTGGAAAGGAACATACACATGTACAAGTACATATCTACTGCAAATATTATATATAGTAAAATGAAACACTAGAGAAGAAATTATTACAAAATAAAACAAAACACCTTTAACTTGTTACTGTGTTGATTTCATTTAACTGTTTGATATAATGATAACATTGTATTATCTTTTATAACTCATTACGAAGTAAAAGTAATGGCAGCTTTTTATAAGAAACAGGAAGCAGACAGTGGATATACTCTTTTGTAAAATCCTGCCAGTGTATTTTATTTGACTGTGGACTTGGAATGGTTGTGAATGCATATTAGAACCCAAAACAACCACTATTGTTTTTAAGAACAAGAACAATAAGGATAAAATAAGACATGAGATAAAATAATAGAATCTATAAAACATTCAACTAATACCTAATACCTATACATATTTCTGAGAAGGCAGAAATATGTAGAAAATGTAAAAAAGGGAAAAACAAGATAATAGTTTTTTTTATATATAAATATGATCAGTATACTCCAAGTGTATCATTAATCACTTTAGAAATAATGGTACAAATGTTCCAATTAAAGGACACAATTTCAATAGTGGATGTGAAAGCAAGATCCTGCTATATGCTGTCTATGGAATCCCACTTTAAATATAAAGACTCAGATAAATTAAAAGTGAAAGGGCAGGGAAGATATACCAGACTGGCTAATTAAAAGAAAGCAGATTAATTTCAGACAGAGCAGACTTTATAGCAAGTAAAATTGATATAGTGTGGCATGACATGGAAAGGGACCAATTCCCCCAAAGGATTTAACAACCTTCATGTGTATAAGCCTGGTAATAGTGTGTTAGATATATGAGGTAAAAACAGAGAGAAGGAAAGAGAAACAGATGGATTCCACTATTACAGCTGGAGACTGTCCTACAGGTGGAAAATGAATAAGGGAATAGTTGAAATCAGCAGCATCATTAATAAACTGATCTGATTGACATTTATAGACTATTGTGTACAACGATAATAGGATATACATTTATCTCAAGTTCACATGGAACATTCATCACAATAGACCATATTCTGGGACATAAAACAGACCTTAAAAAACTTAAATGGATGATACCAAAGGGCACTAGTGACAATATAATTGAAGTAAAAATTAAAAATATATATATAGCTGGAAAATCCCCAAATATGAAGAGATTACACAGCAGACATTAAT